TATTGAATTTAATATGAACAATTAATGTTAAATTACATGCTTTAATATGTCACTTAATATATTTAAACAAGTGTACCTGAAATGAGATCTCTATACCTCCATGGGGCACCAGAATAATTGTGCATTGGCTAAGCTTTATTCAGTTACCCTAATGAAATCTCTTTAGGATTGTTCATTATTTATAAGAGCTTTTGGAAATCACCCATCTCTCTTCTTTACTCAACTATTGCTTCATTCTTCTGATCACGAGTGTAGAAGCCATCAGCTAACTGCTAACTGGAGAGGATGTCTTTACTACATCATTATTCTATCCCTTGTCTGACCTGGCAGCCAATCAAATGAAAGCTTTTGCCTCCCTGCATTGACTCAATTTCCCCTCACGCTGCCCCTGGTGGCAAACTTAATTGCAGTTGGGTATTGTCTTTCTGCTCTCGTCCTCTCTCCTTCCTGTCCTCCGTCACGTTCCTCTTTGTCCTTCCTTCGCCTTTCCCTTGGTGTGACGTGTGGGAGTCTTTACCTTTTTGGTCTGAGGCCTGCTTGAGTTACGGACGCATTTGAACCGGGCGGGTGACTGGACCACAGCCCTCGGTGAAGGGCACAGCCAGCCTCAACACAATGTCATTCAACTCCTGTTAAACTATTCATAACGGCTTGGGTGCCAGGAGGAGGCCGCAAATATGCAAACGCTCTGTTTGATGGAGGTGGACCAGGTGAACTTGAAGAGCACAGATGTTTGACTGAAAGATTGTCAGAGGGAGAGCAGAGATGGTGTATCATGTAGAGGTTAGCATGGGTAGCGAGATGTAGCCAGAGGTCTATGAGAGGTAAAAGAGAAAGCAATGCATGTGCGGAGGTAAAGTAGTTTACTAACGATGGAAATGAAAGACGTTTAGCCTATATATGAAACCTAAAACCTTTTGAGCTGCCTACTTAGGAAACATTTACATTTTATTTAACTTTAAAAGTTAAACATTATAGTCCATAACGCATTATATAAATATTAAATATTTGATTAGTCTAATGTAAAAGTGACTTTTTTAGTCACTTTATGCCATTTCATCCACATTCTTAGCTTAACCATATTCTCAGCCTAACTCCAGTATTTCCTATGTGATTCATGTAAGGAGTGCTATTTGTATGATATAAAGATAGTTGCTAAAATTTTGCCAAATTTGTCACGTTTGAGATACCGTTTCAGTTCTCGGGTCTTGTTAACGAGATTTTTGCACCCAAAAATGAAAAATACCCCATGATTTACTCCGTCTCAAGCCATCCTAGGTGTATATGACTTCATTCGTTCAGACGAATCCAATCAGAGTTAAATTAAAAATGTCCTCGCTCTTCCGAGCCTCATAACGGCAGTGAATTCGTTATTCAAAAGTCCAAAAGAAGGCCAATAAAGTGCATCCATCCATCAAAAAAAAAGTACGCCACACAGCACCTGGGAGTTAATAAAGAGCTCCTGAAGCAAATCAATGTGTTTTTGTAAGAAAAGTATCCATATTTAAAACTTTATAAACCATAATCTCTAGCTTCCACTAACTGTCGTAATCGCGTGCGCGAGAGAGCGGTGTTCCAGTGGTGACGTCGGCGTAGCGTAAACTCCGGTGAGAAGTGACGAATGCGGAAGCGCAGAGGAGAGAGCAAAACAAAACCACCAGCATCGATTTGCTGAAGGATCATGTGACACTGAAGACTGGAGTAATGATGCTGAAAATTCAGCTTTGCATCACAGGAATAAAATATAACAAAAATATGAATCTTAAATACAACAAAATAGAAAAACAGTTATTTTAAATTGTAGTAATATTTCGCAATATTACAGTATTTTACATCAAATAAACATGGGTGAGCATAAGAGACCATTCAGCCATATTTTTGGATATGTTAGTAATAATGAGTCCAAACTAAACAGTGAACTAATGCACAGATTTTCTAAATTTTATATTTTATTAGTGTATTTTGTCAAGACAACCACATGCAATTAAACAGACGAATCCAATCAGAGTTAAATTAAAAATGTCCTCGCTCTTGCGAGTCTCATAACGGCAGTGAATTCGTTATTCAAAAGTCCAAAAGAAGGCCAATAAAGTGCATCCATCCATCAAAAAAAAAGTACGCCACACAGCACCTGGGAGTTAATAAAGAGCTCCTGAAGCAAATCAATGTGTTTTTGTAAGAAAAGTATCCATATTTAAAACTTTATAAACCATAATCTCTAGCTTCCACTAACTGTCGTAATCGCGTGCGCGAGAGAGCGGTGTTCCAGTGGTGACGTCGGCGTAGCGTAAACTCCGGTGAGAAGTGACGAATGCGGAAGCGCAGAGGAGAGAGCAAAACAAAACCACCAGCATCGATTTGCTTCAGGAGGCCTTTATTAAGAAAAAGCTGCTTGGTTTGACACAGACTTGTGTAAGATGTTCTTCATACAACGCTGTGCTATTGACAATAGACAATTGACATTTTCACCTGAAAAAATCCTTGATGATTCTCTTCAGTAAGTGCAAAAAATGTTCACTATACATTCAAGTACCCCAAAATAAAATAAAAGTGATCATTTTAGCCACTTCAAGCTACCTCATCCACATTGTTAGCTTAGCAATTCTAACTCCATTGGGTTTCCTATGTACTTCATGTGAGGAGATTTCCCAATTGTCACTTTTGAAGTTCCATTTCAGCTGCCACCTTATTTACATTAGCAAAATTGAAAATCGTGCTGAAAGAGTAAATTTGCTATTGTCAATAGTGTAGCGATGTATGAAGCAAGTCACTTTCAAACCAAGCAGTTTTCTGTTGGTCATCGCAGCGAATCTGCTTGACTAAATCACAAAATCTTCTTGGGGAAGTCTTTGAAAATTCCTCATCTCATTCATTCCTATTGAAATTACTGTATTTTGCCTGCTAAAATTCACAGAACAATTGTGACCCTGGACCACAAAGCCTCACAAAATGATTGATTTTTCTTTTATGCCAAAAATCATTAGGATATTAAGTAAAGATCATGTTCCATGAACATATTTTGTAAATTTCCTATACCGTAAATATGTTAAAACTTAATTTTTGATTAGTAATATGCATGGCTAAGGACTTCATTTGGACAACTTTAAAGGCAATTTTCTCAATATTTAGATTTTTTGCACCCTCAGATTCCAGATTTTCAAATAGTTGTATCTCGGCCAAATATTGTCCTATCCTAACAAACCATACATCAATGGAAAGCTTATTTATTCAGCTTTCAGGTGTTGTATAAATCTCAATTTGAAAAAATTGACTTTCTTTTACTGGTTTTGTGGTCCAGGGTCACAATTGTAAACACCACAACTTTAACTTTTAGTTGAGTTCACTTCACCGTTGTTCGAATTTTGCTGGTGAAATCCAGTCATAGGAATCCACAGGATCAGGAAATTCTTGTGAGGGCAAAAGATTGCTCCAGGTGACTTTTGTATGAGATGTTCTTAGTTTATACAGCGCTACACTATTAGACAATGTAACCAATGTAACATAACTGCACCTTTAGAGGACAGCAGGGTTCCTCTAGATTTTAGAACAGAGCCTATGATGGGTGGCAGTATCTTACCCTTTGAATGAATATTCCTCTTTTGTGTCTTGATGAAGTAATGGGAACAGAGCGAGTCAAGTTTATTCATATTTCAGTTGATTCATAATTAATCATGCCTTAAATCATGCCTTAATTAATTTGACATCAAATGTGGGTGGCAAATATTTAGTTACAAATCCTGTATGATATTACTGTTTCAATTTGATGATGTTCCTTTTTAATCAGGGTGATGTAGCTTCATACATCGTAAGCAACCATTCTCGTATTCTGGGATCCAATTCGCAAGGCCACACTGAAGATCTCCTGTCGAAAAAACAAACACTGAAACTGCGCGTTTGCCAGAGAGATTGCCATTGTACTCTGTCCCAGTTCCACCGAAGGATTTGACTCAATTTCAAGGAAACAATAACACAGGTAGGGTGGATAACATCTCAATTTCCTTGTGGGAGAACGATCCATTTAACATTGGCACAGACTGTAACTAAAAGGTCTGGTGGGTCTTTAATTGACTCTCAACACAAGCAATCTCTGGAGCAACGCAGATGGACCAGCCAGTGCCACCAGTATCATCATGGCTGGAGGTCGATGTGGATTTGGGTTTTGCCCTCTTTTTTCTCTTTCTTCTCTGCCTTTTTTTGGTGGTAACCGTTGTGCGTTGCGCTCAAACAGTTGTGGATCCATACGGAGCCATTTCCACCTCCACCTACCAGGAGGAGCAGATAACTGATATCTGATCTCGCCAATCCAACACAAAGGATTTTATGAAAACGCCTGTGTTCAGAATGGAAGACATTATGTGCATTATGCAATGATAAACAATGGTCAGATGGCCTTATTTGTCACATGATATCATTACATCATTTCAAACATGAAATGAAGTCAGTGTTATGCCAGAAATGAATAAAATACAAATACAGTCATTATGCAGTTATGGCCAAATGTTTGAACAAGAAAGTAGAAAAAGGCTTTTGAAGTTGTAAATAAAACAAAGTTTATTGGAATACGTTTATAAGAAAATATACTGTTTCAGTCTTTAAAAATGTCATATTTAAATCATGTTTCTTTGTAATAATTTGTGAAATTTACAAGCAAATTTTGAGTGAAATGTTTTATAAATCTTACACCATTTGTAGCATATACTGCACACTTTAATATTATTTTGTGTCCTGTCTTCTTTTTGCATTACATTCACACTTCTTACATTGCATTTAAATTCATAGGAGGCAATTTCCTACCAAAGGGACTAAAAATACAGAGAACAAATCATGTTGCTAACATTCTGAGGTACCTGCTATTTTGAAGTGTAAATAAGCACAAGAACTGTAGGTGTAGGTTTTTGCACAATAGAGTGGGGGAAAACACCCCCCTACCGTTTTCCCCAAAATAACAACAAGATACATTTTTATTGTAACTTTGGACTACGTTGACAAGAGTGATGTAGAAGTATTCACTATGAAGCTTACACTGGTGATGTACCAGAGAGAAAACGGATTTCACAGTACATGATCTAATTTTCAGCAGTAAGAAAAAAAGTGTTGTAAAGCTTGTTGTTTTGTAGAACATAACAGTTATATGATTTGAGAACAGTAGGGCCTGTCGATAGGGAGTACCTGTTATTTAATAAAAATATAATTATATTTTCAGAATGAATTTTTTTTTTTCTCAAACATAGTCAGTGGGGTAAAACGCCCCCAGGGGCAATGGGCAATTAGGCCTACTGTAGCTATTCTGAATGTCAAATCCTATGTTTTTCCATCAAATGTATTCTAACTAGTTGGTTGAATTAAAATATTTGGACTTTATATTTAAAAATTACATTAGCATCAGGTAGCCAGTTAGCATCAGCTAACAAAAATTTTAAAATAGGCTATTATAATTTTGCAATTCATAATTATTGATTACATTTAATTTTAATTTTAAGCTAAAACTGCATGTACTCTGATTTTGCTGTAAATGTTAAAAGCAAATTACTTTGTCCGACTGGGAGGCATTTTCCCCACCCATGGGAGCGTTTTACTTCATTTTTGTTAAAAATCTAATAACATGAAAACTCTGGACATTTTTCATACTTGGTTTATAATTTATGTAATTGTCACTAAAACTATGATAACTTTTCTGAACACATTTAGCCTAACTTTTGTTTCACAGAAAAAAATGGCACACTCCTTAAAGCGTTAGTTCACCCAAAACTGAAAATTAGCCCATACATTACTCACCCTCAAGTCATCCTAGGTGTATATGACTTTCTTCTTTCAGATGAATCCAGTCGGAGTTATATTAAGAATTGTCTTTGATCTTTCAAGCTGTTTAATGCCACTCAGCGGGTGTTGCATGCATCAGTCCAAAAGAAGTTAAAGGTGCAGTAGGAGATCTTGGAAAATGCTAACTTTAGCCTGATAGCACTGAAAGCGAACGTCCCACCCTCCCTGCAATCGCCGTCCAAAGCCACGCCCCCTGAACGCATATACGCACACAGACCAGAATACCAGAGACAACATTACTACAATAGGCTACATCAGCGGGTCCCAATTCCAGTCCTCGTGGGAGTAGGGAGCAATGAACACTGTGTAGGGTTCCTATCGATCGGAACACAGTTCATGCACGTAGCTCACTTCTAACGAGCTGGTTGTCTGAATCGGGTGTGTTAACTAAGCGAGACATGCAAAATATGCAAGGAAGCAAAGTTTCCTTACTTTAGCAAAGGAAAACCATTCTCCTCTTGGCTTATATGAAATCCTCTGCCGCTGTACGCGACTAGACACGTAATGAAATACAGTTGCAGAGGTTTTTTGGCTTTTAGTGCTTTGAATCCAAGATTTAAACCCTGGACCTCTTGCAACCTAAGCGAAAATCATACCCCAACGAGCCAAATTAATGAGGAAAAAAAATTAACTTAAATGATTTTAGCAAATGGCTGCAATATAACAAAGAGTGAAAAATTTAAGGGGGTCTGAATACTTTCCGTACCCACTGTATAATGTAGAAATATGCAACATTTGTTAGTTGTGTCGTTTAGCCTAAATTACGTTTATATTGAATATTTCAAAAGATGGCAAATGGCACATATTAACGAACCTACATTTAAAAATTGCTGTTGTAACGCAATACATGTACATATCATATCTGTAAATAGGCCTATTTCCCAACTGTTAACGGTAATGTTTGTAAGTGACGGTGGCCAAGATATTCCTACTGTAGAACCAATGTGGCCTATTTGTTTCACTTTCTTCTTAAAGGAATGTTCTTGATCTTAGAAAAGATCCTATTCGTCGGCACATGGGATTCGTGTGTTAAGGTTTTTAAAAGTAAATTTACTAAAGGTTTCAAAGAATGTATATTTCTAGATGATTGGTATGATGCTTCACTTTTTTTTCCATGTTGAAATGAAAAGAAACGTGCACTGATTATTATGCTTGTGAACAAAAATTAATAAGGGATTTTATGTTAATAATTGTACATTTTATCAAAAGTCTGATCATTTATTTATTTATTTATAAGAATATAAGATAAGAATTTGCATAAGGATTTGTCTGCATAAGTGCCATGCTGCTGATGACTTCCAATATCTGAATAGGGTTTTCAGCTCTTCTGATAGGCAGGCATTGCTCAAACTGTCTCACATACTGAGAGGCACTCTTCCATTTCAGCCATTTGTCTACACATGTAGGCTACCAGAGATCTTTCGAAGATTGCAGGACAGCCGTTTTCAGTGGCTGTGTAAATAACCTGACCACAATGCACTTATTTGATGAAACACACCTGGTCCATTTAACTCTGTTTGTTTTGAATCAATTCAATGATATGTGTTAGAGATAATCAGACCAGAATAATAGGCAATTATTTTTAACCCGCCCAATGTATCATACTGAACATCTTTTTATATTTTGAAAACCCAGGGCTTGTAGCCAGCAGGATCCTATCAGCAAACTCATTATTCTATTGTAGGCAAATTGCCCTTGATCCCCTATAGATAAACTGTCTGTTGTGGAATGCTGATCAGGAGCTGTTACAGCAGTCGCAGTGAACCATGAAGCTTCCCAGCTGCCTGAAGTGTCTGGATGGGCACATCTGCAGACACTTGTCTCTCATGATTAGCTGGAAGTGAGCAGTCTTGATTCCACCTCCTGGGTTCTGCTCACTCCATGAATATTAGTGTACTTGAGACGACCTTCCAGCTAAGAAGAACCTTCCCGTCACCAGCTGCATATTCCACCCCAGAATTCATTACTTTCCCCCTCATTAAAAAGTTAAAGAAATGAATAGTGCTGTTATGTAAGATTAACAGAAACACTTATTAATGCATTTGTGTTATAAAAACAACTGTAGAATCTAAAATGAAAAACACTACAGAAAACAAAGCTTACAAAAATACCATGATATCGAATAGTAATATCACAGTACTTTGAGGCCTATACAATGTCAATAGTACTGAATGAATGCCATAATTAATTATGTGGCAGAATATTTTTATATTGTCAAAAAAAAAAAAAATCCTAGTATCATGGCACTTTTTGGTATATTTTTGTTTATAAGATACTTTTAGTAGGAATTAATAACAAAAAGATAATTTTAAAAAGATATCTTTGACCATATCTTTCCATGTTAAACCAGTTTGTGTGTTTCTGCGCCTTTATATTTTTAAGCTATTAATTATTCAAACAGCAGAATAACATTTAACAATAATATATAGGTAGATATATAACACATAAAGCCATCATAACAATGATGAACAGAAGTAAATAACATAAAAAGTAACAGTAAAAATACTTTGTATTTTCAGATACAGATGTATTTATGTATGTGAAACTTAGCCAAAAGAAGTATTTTTTCCTAAGATTAAACTCTTCCCCCCCCACCCCCCGTTCGTATTACTGTTATTGACCTCATCTGCCTCTACTAACATGTCTGCGATCTACGTCCGATACCGCACTTCCGCCCCCTTCCGCGCTTGTCCGATGATATTCGTCTGTTTCCGCCTGGAACTTCCTTTCTGGCAGCGGCTTAATCTTCGCCAACATGCCAGTGAGTACCAGAGAGCAAAAACATGTCAATATATACCACTTACATGACATTAAGACCTAAATATCGAAACGCGTTCAAGAACATGTCCTTATGACTGACCTTAATGTGCGCGTTGTCACATGAACTTGAAGATGAACGTAAAAACAAGCGTTAAGTCTTGAATGGTTCGGCAGCGTGCTTTCGCGCCCTGCATCAAGATGGCGGCGCACACACAACAAAACAGTAATGTGACGCACGATTAAGTGTCGATGTGTTTTATACGTATTATACGTTAAAACGGCTGAACTGTGTAATGCCTACGTTTGAGGGAAGCTACCAGTTGCTTTTTGACTAAATGATTTCATGCAGCGCTCTGGAGTTGCCAGAAGTAACGTTAACTGAAAATGATCAAGACGCAAGGGCTTCTGCATGGTCTCTCAAAACATAATTATCTGCCTACCTAGACAATATTTTTGGACATTATATGCTGCTGTTATGCCCAAAATGCTGTCTGGATAGGCAGCTCAGCATATTTTAATGCATGCTCGTGTGAAGTTGCTGGTCAAAGGGTGTTTATTGGCAGTTTTTTAATGTAAAATCATATTGTTTATGTAAATAGCTCGCAAAAGACTTGCTGCACCCGACCCCCGAGGAGGAGAGGAGGAGGCACAAGAAGAAGCGTCTCGTACAGTGTCCCAATTCTTATTTCATGGATGTCAAGTGTCCAGGTGAGTGTCCTCCATATGATTCTGGATAATTGGACTTGTCAGTGTCTGAATGGTCTTAATGACTCTTGTTTTTCAGGATGTTATAAGATCACAACAGTTTTCAGCCACGCACAGACAGTCGTGCTTTGCGTCGGTTGCTCAACTGTGCTGTGTCAGCCCACCGGAGGCAAAGCTCGACTCACAGAAGGTTCGTTTGTGTTTTTACTCAAACTCAGACATGTTTAGGAGCAACAGTGGAATGGAGAAATCAAATTGTAAGCCGTTTGGTAGTTATCTCATATTACTGAGGTTATCAGGGTTTCTGTTATTCTACTAAAGTTATTGTTAATTAACTGTAGTAGATGTAATTTTAAAATATAAATAGGTTCAACATTGCTTTATAAGAATCAGTGATGCGACTTTATAGTATTTATACAAATGTATACATATTTTCTGCACTTCCACTCATGCTGCAGTTTGAAATGCATACTACATCCAAAATAAATACCTTAAATGTATTTGATACTGTAGCTTCCATATACATTTTAATTTTACTATTGTTCTGTAAATAAGTTTTTTTTTACAGTACAATAGTATTTTTGCAATAGTTATATAACAGAATAATGTAAATAATAATCAAGTAAAAATATGTTTTGAATAAGAATGGTAATTTTTTTTTATGCCGCCTGAAAAATGTGCTGTTGATGTAAGCAATGATGCATAAGCCAAGTTGACCGTTTGAAATGCAGATTTTGAGGTCTCGTTGATATTCGTTGGCCCGATTCAAGTCATAATTTTACTGTAAATTACTGTAATTTAGTAGAGTCATTTGAATGGAAATTAGTGATTTTGCTTACACTGGTGCTGGAAGGTCTGTGATGATGAATACTGCATTGAAATGAACTATACAGACAGCGCTTTAAGTTAGCAGCTGCTGAATAGTGCAAACATTATTTTGGTCTGAGTTCAGTTTATGATAGATTAAAATCATTTCTCTTCGAGTATGACAGCATTAGCAGTCATTATTGGGAGTTTAGATGTAGATGCTGACCCCCCCCCCCCCAAACTCTTAGCCATTCTTTATCCGTTAGTTTATATAAAGCTGATCTGTCCATAATTTGTGATTATTGCAGTAATTTAGGGGTTTGTTGTGCATGAAATTTTCCGAGTATTCATATATTCATTGTCACAGGTCTGCAGTGTATTATAGTCTCTCTGATTTCTTTCAGACCTTTTAAACTCTTGCAAACGTTTAGCTGATGTTAATAGATGTTCAGCTAAATTTCATGTGGATGATTGTCATCTTGTACGTTGCAGGCACTTGTGGGTTGATTATCCTATTTATTAGAGCTTTATTAGACCTATTTGAGCATTGGCTCAACCAGTGAAATGTTGCGAGTTGGATGTGGGATCTTTTTGTGCAACTAATGGCAATAATGTTTTAGAAACCTGTTTGAAATCATTTTATTGTTACTGGAGAGGCACAGTATAAAAAACAGAATGCATGCTTCTTTCCAAATGTTTGAGGGCACTGAGGGGTGATATTCATGCTTTTGTTGTTAATGAGCTTAGCTGTCGTTTCTGATAATGACCTCTCTTTTTCTTATGATTTCTCCAGGGTGTTCCTTCAGAAGGAAGCAGCATTAAGATGTTTCTGGATGCTTTGTTGGAGAGAGAGGGAAAGAGAGAGAGGGAGGAGACGGACCGGCCTCAGTGACAGCAGCCTGATTATTTCAAGCAAGAGATGAAGTAGATCCAGTCACCAGGTCTGAAGAACCGACAGGAACACCCTCCAACCTAGTGTCTCTTTTTTCTCTCTGTCTCAGTCTCAATAAAATGTTTGGGCTACAATGTTGCTGTGATGAGGATTTTGTTCAAACTGTCATGCTTCATACACTTGGGTGATTTAGTTGATCAGAATTTTGACTATTCAAGCCTTACCAAAGTTACTCTGAGAAAAATAAATGATCAAACAAACAATTTAATATGCTGCTATGGTGCTCAGGAAACCCACTACCATGAATGCTAAAATCATTTAAACATCAAGTCTTTTATTATGCTGCTTAATATTTCTGTGGGAACTGTTTTTCAAGATTATTTAATGAATAAACAATTAAAAAGTGCATTTATTTGAAACATTCTTTTGTAACATACGAAAAGTCTTTATAGTGTCATTTTTTATTAATGTGTCCTTGCTGAATAGAAGTATACATTTCATTAGGAACTGTAATATTGCTAAAAGAAAAACAAATCAAAATGTTTCAGTTTTATGTATTTAATTTGACCAACACTGAATGGAAGCAAGCACTTGTGATTTGAAAAATCATAGAGCTAGATAATAGCCTGTATGTTTTCCCTGAAAATACCCATCTAAAAATTTAGTATTGCTTAATAAGAGTCGTATTACAGAGGTTCTGGCTAAATGTAATAAAACCCTGCAGTAAAAAAGCATTAAGATTTCTGAATAGCTTTTCAAAAAGCATTTCTTCCCAGTATTCATAAAATACTCATACAGATGACATTCATTATCAAGTCCAAGGGACCAAAGGCCCAGATGAGTGGGTTATTGAACAGTAACCCACTGTGTGTAGAATGGCAATGTTCAAATAGCATCAGTGGATGACATTTTATTAATCATTACCTGAGAGAAGAACCGCAAGTTAAAGTGATACATGAAAAGATCCATCGGAAAAAGCGGTTAGCTTACAATACTGTATATGAGATGAACTGTCAATAATCCCCTATTAAGTGTAGGAATGTCTGTGCTAGAATACTCAAACTCATCTGTACAGAGTTTAAAATCCCACAGCACAGCACACTGACAGATAGCAGCCTTTGTCAGGAAGCTGTGGTGTCGTGTCATTTAGTTTCCGAGATCATTAGTTGATTGCTTCTCTCTGCCGAACTGCTATCTTCAGTGGCTCCTGAATGATAATATGATGAAATCAATTCAATTGTATTCTCTACCCTCCAGGAACGAGACCAGTGGACTAAATTGTCTGTGTCCCTCCTTAACCAAATCAACTGCAAATTGTGGCTGCCTAATGACGCCTTGTGGGAATGAAACTGCAGCCTCATGGGAGGATCTCATGATTACTTTCAAGAGTCAAAACTTTAGTATACTCCAGTACCTTCTCTTATTATAGATAGATATAGATATTATATTGTTTACTCATTTTTTCTTATGAATTCATCAGGATGCATCTTTACCACATGGTGTTCTCCTGTGAACCATGTTTCGGAACAATGCAGTCATGCTATGGATAATAATTTTCCCATTATGAAGAACATTAGTCTAAATACCATACACTTTGCTCTCTATTTCATACTGTACTGGAGCAAGAGGCCTGCGTTCTGTACAAATGCAGTTCCCAAAATGACCACATAGTGTCAGAAAATCTGTAACCCAGAAGTCTGCTTTAGCTTTTTGTTTTAGCTCATGTGGTTTTCTGTTTTGACTACATATGCATTTTGAGTGCCTTATTCATCATCAAAACATGCTCTGTTGGCAAAAAATAAAAAAGCTATGTTAATATATTGCACAGGACCAACTTATATTTATTAAAAATACATTTTTATTAATTTTATTGCAAACAATAAAGTTAGTGAGGAAGATCATTTTTGGGGGTCCATGGCATCTAAAAGTTTGAAAACCGGTAAGAGTTTCCTCCTGTTGAGCACAAAAGAGGATATTTAGAAGAATGTTGGCAACCAAACAGTTGACAGTAACTTCCATAATATTTTTTTCCATATTATTATGGAAGTCAGTGGCTACCATCAAATATTTGGTTACCAAATTTCTTCAATTTATCTTCTTCTGTGCTAAACAGAAGAAAGAAATTCATACAGGTTTGGAACAAGTGAAAGGTGAGTAAATCATGACAGAATTTTCTTTTTTTGGGGGTGAACTATCCCTAAACAATAGCCTCATATTAATTGTTGCCATGATTTAGCGTTGCCATTGCCTTACATTGAGATGCTCTCAAGGGTGACTTGACCTTCAGCCTCCACAATCCCTAAACTCACATTCAGGTCTGGCTCCATTCTGTTATGCAATGGCCAGTTTTCACAGTCCAGCCAATTCCTGATAGACTTTAGGTTTCCACATACTCTTAAGAGCATTTAAGCACTCTCTTTAAAAAAGCCCCCAAAACAATAACACCTAAACTGGACAGGTAAGAAACCCTCCTGCTAAATGGAATCACATCTCGTCATCATCATTTTTAATGCCGCTGTCTTTAGTTGATATATTAAACGCTTGTTTTCCACGACATATCTATATGTTATACCACTGTTAGAGAGAAAGCCTCTCCAGATGCCTGACTGTGAGTTCCGCTCACCTCGGCTCCCTCCCCATGTGAAGAGGCCACCGAAGGGCATCTGTAGTAATAGGGTAATCTGTTATAGGGCTCTCTGGTTTCCCATTCCCTGGCCCCTGTCTCAGCACTTCGTCAGGACGAATGAGAGGAGGAGTTTAACTAAGCACATTACTGTGTGCCACTTGCATATCCCAGCACGTCCTCAATTAAACCCCCTCCACCATAATCTCCGTTATCCCATTAACACACACACACAAGCATGCCTGAACATGCTTGACTTTACTGGTATGCCTCACCGATTGAAACATTTTTTTTTGTATACTTGGTAAATTTCACACTGTAAAAAAGCAATTAGCCCACATTGTATCTAGCTTTTCTGAGTCACAGATACTAAAACGTGTAAATTACTTTGAATCACACACGTTAAGAACAATAATATTCTCCCAAATTTTGCCCCAGCTAGCCTAAAAGAGCCATCTGAGCAAACAATTTCATATTAAATGGAAGTTAATTCCCAGCAAGCATTGCGGAAGAATACATGATTACTGTTAGCTACTGTTACTGTTATAGGCTGTGATTTTGTTTTACAGTTTTCAGATTTTTTTATGGCAATGTTGTTGTTTTCTGTTGTTACTTTTACAATGACATTGTGTTGTGATGTTCAAACTAGCTTTCCGCAATTTAGACACTCTCAGGCCGGAAGTACACGCGCGCTCCGATTGAACATGCTTGGCAGTAAGACATTTTAGGACTCAAGGGCGCGATAGTTATATTCAAATACCTATGACATTAAACCGGATGTGTTATATATATATATATATATATATATATATAGTTGCTATAAAACATAGGCTACTGTCTCAGATTAGATGTTTTAGTGGAACTTTAACTGACTTGATCGTCTAAATTTCTCTGCCATGACAGTTGTTGAAAGAGAAAATGGGCGTAAAATAGAAATGTACACAAATTTCCGCTATACACACCTATTTTAGCGTTTTAGTTGTGTCTTATTAAATTTTTTCAATATAATTAATCTACTTTCTCTTCTTTAGAGGCAGATGGAGAGCTACAGTGTTCTGGTCAACTCGAGGGTTTGTAGCAAAATGAAATAGTATCGCTGTTGAGGACAGACAATTATTTTGATCAGTTTAGACATCTCTTTAGTAGGCTACTTTACATTTTTTCCTATTTCATTCACAATACTTTGTGTCCATCTCTCGATAAAAATTAAATTCATTGAAACAAAATTCGATTTTAATACATTTTAAAATGTAATTTATTCCTGTGATGGCAAAGATGATTTTTTTAGCAGGCAATACTCCGGTCTTCAGAAATCATTCTAATATACTGATTTGGTGCTCAAGAATCATTTCTCATTATTAACAATGTTTCAAACAATTGTGCTGCTGTCATTTTTGATGAATATAATGCAGCCTTGTTGAATCAAATTAGAATTTCTTTTTTAAATCCTACTAACCTCAAACCTAGCCTATAATATATTAAAATGATAAAACCTCTAAATCCAGCAATGCTTCTGTATACCTTTTGAAAAGAAAATCTTTTATATAACAAAAGTTTTTCTGCTGTGACACATTTCACTTTTTCTGAAGATGATAGCCTCACTTTGAGAATTTGTGCGATTCTATAAACCCACAAATGATGGAGAAGGAAAGTGGGACAAAGAGAGAGAGAAGAAAGAGATTAGGATTTAACCGAATGTGATTATTTTAGGTAGACAGGAAGATCAGTTCCCCCTTTCCCCTTTTTTGTTCTTGATCTCCCTCCCTTTGTATTCCCAATCCTCCTCCTCATTCATCTGTCCTTCTTAGGGAATCTCAGAGATTTTGGTGGAGAGAAAGCTGACTTGTGAGTCTCAAATCAATCAGATCTTTTTTTCCCATTTTCTCTCACTTGCTGCGATTTGCCGACATCACGGGTAGTCTCTCTCTCTCTCTCTGTCTCTCTCTCTCTCTCTCTCTCTCACCTCCTCCTCGCTCTCTTCCACATTTATTCTGTCCACTGCTTGCATCAAGCCAGCTCTTGCTTTCCTCTCCTCTCCTTCACTCCACCAGGATATTTCCTTCTCCTCTTTCCATATCCGAACATATTCCTGTTTTTCTGCCCTGCTTTTCCTTCATATCTCCTGGAATGTGGCACTCTTTGGCTTTCACTCTATGTGGGATCTCCGCTTTGATCCAGGGTAGGTTCCTCACTATGTGCACATGCATGTAAGTATATAAATCTGTGTGTGTATGAAACAATTGTTTAGGAAAGAGAAGGCAAACATTTTAAAAGAAAGCAGCATAAGATATTGGGTTTTTATTTTATTATTATTATTTTTTGGTTCTCTCATATGTGTGCTCTGCAAACCTGTTTGCCTGTGGGCAACCTTGTGCCACCAGATGTTTCGTGTGTGTGTGTGTGTGTGTGTGTGTTTTACCACTGTTGCAGTCAAGAGAGAGAGAAAGAGAAAAAATCAGATGGAATCGGAGGGACGAGAGGCAGAATGAAACAAAATTGCTTTGCCA